TTCTCCGATTATCCCAAACAAACTCAAAATGATATAGGAGAAAGGTTCGATAGATTTATGTAAAAAAATTTAGATAGATAAAACACTTATTTCTGTCAGTTTATTGTTAAATTTCTAGATAATATGTCTATCACAGATACATAATATTTTTGAAATCATATATATATATATATCATTAACAATCTAAAGTATTAAAATATAAGTACAATTTAGAATTAATCATAAGACTTAAAACTTATTTATATATCTATGTCTTTCAATTTATAATCAAGCCTAAATTTAAGCAATTATTTTTTTTCCTAACTTTACAAATAATTTACTAAATCTGAGGAACGATCATTTTAGTTTAATTATTTTGCGTCGAGAAATAAAACATTGGTATAAATTATGTTCATATATTTCGAACATTAAAACTTCACGATCCACAAACTCATAAACAAAAAAATGTGAATCAATATTATTAATACAAAAAAAATATTTATATACTCACAAGTAGTTTAAGTTGGACCATTTCATTTTTTTAATTTTTATTATTTTGAATGCAACAAAATTATTTATTATTAAATAAACACATAATCTTAACATAATATTTAAATATTTTCAAAATAAGATATCAAAAATATATTCTTAACTATTTTTCTAAGATCACATTTTAACAATATCTTTTACTATCTTTTATTTAAAATATAAATATTTATTGGTTTAATATTATTTTAATAGTAAAAATGTAAATAATATTAAATTTAATTACAAACGAATGCTAACTCATTTTAATTTATAAAAAAAAAATAACCTTCTATAATATTTGTATATAAATATTTCATATTTCTAATTAAAATCACACTAAATATTTCTATCAAATGAGAGAGATGTAATAATTTTAGAAAAGGAAGGACACCTAAAATCTTTGATATATATTTTAATTTATATAACTATGAAAAGAAAGATATATTTAAAGTATAATTATACATGGTAAAATATATTAGAAAAAATAGAAAAATAACTCACTGAATTAGGAGATTATTTAATATGAATTACCAAAAAAGAAAAAAAAAATAAAACAAAGGGAGAATTGCTAATAACAAGCTAAAAATTCAAATCAAATGCAAAAATATACCTCATTTTCAGTCAAATGCAAATCAACATAAAGATATAGGGACATGTCTATTTTTTCCCTTATGACTAAACAAAAAACCAGAATATTGTTTTACATTTCTACATCCTTACGAAGTATACATTTAATAAAGCGAAATCTACAAGGTGTATACTTCTCATGAAGTCAACAATATAGACTTATTATGAAATCTACATTCTAAGTTAATCTTATAATTTTATTCTAAAAATGCATAAAAATAAATTGTGTGAAATTTCTTTTAGGTCATCAATATAAGAATCAATATGATGTATATAAATTAAATTTGATATAACTAAACAATTTTAACGAATATATATTGATTAAGTAACTATGTGTTGAACAATGTTTACGGTTTAGCAAAAGATGTTCTAACATATGATGTCTTTTAGGGTTAGATTCTTAGGGTTAGATTTTAGATTTAGATTTCTTTTGTTATTATTGACTTAAATTTACATATTAATATTGAGTAGTTTATATTTTGTATATCTTAACATTTGATATAATAATTGAGACTTATTGATTTTGAAGAAACTTTTAGGAGTTGGAATTTGTGGTTTAGGGAGTGATAAACTTACAATAATGTCTACTTATTGTAAGTATACATTCTTTGTAGTTTACTAAAAATGAAAATCACTATTTCAAATTAACTCTAGTTCTTAACTTATAAAATGTGAAATAATATGTTATAAAAATCAAAACAATAAGGGTCCCAAACAATAAAAAAAAAGTAAATCATATATTAAAACTATTATTCAAACAATAAAACAGTAAGAAATAACGCTGCCAGTTACATATTTATGAATAAAAATGTCTAAATCATGTTTATGATACAATAACTGAGACTTTTTTGGTTATCAATCAAACTTATAGGGTTTGAGTTTTGTAATTTAGGGTTTGGTATACTTACAATAAAGTCTACTTCAGTGTAGAAGTCTTTTTCAGACTACTTTAATTTAAAAGTCAACATTTTAAAATTAAATTAAGTTCTTTATAAATTAAAATGAGAAATTATATAATATAAATATTAAAAATAAAGAAATAAATTAAATAACTTAGATAAATTACATATTAAAATTATTAAAATAATAAAAATAAACAACAATAACGAAATAGTCATAGTAGATTTCAAAATAAAGTCTAATAATTATAGTAGACTTACGATAAAGTATACTCCAAAATTTTAATTATAGTAGACTTCAAAAGAAGTATAAACTGTCAAAATTTTTAACCTATTAACAATTTTTGTCTCTCTTCTATATAAATGAAATTTAGACAACCTCTCTCTAAAATGGCTGCACAAATTTCTAAAAACACTTTCACTTCTCTCTAAAACTCTCTCCCTTCTCTCTAAAACTCTCTCATTGCTCATTCTTTGAAGGTGAAGATTCATTTTTGTTTAGTTTGTTAATTTTTTTATCATGTCTTTTTTACAATATTATCTTGCATGGTTATCACCATTCACTCTAAAAATGTAAGTCTTAGATCTATAGATTTTAAATGTGTATTTTTATGTTCAAATAAAGTTATAAATACAAATTATGTGCATTTACTTTGCTATTATTTTATCTTATAAAATTTTATTTTTGTAGATTTGTTGTCAGATTAAAAACTATTTCACATTTTCACATGTACATAGTTTTCGGATCTGAAAATTATCCGATATAGTAGACTTGTAATGAAGTCTACAAAAATAAAAGTGATTTTTTTGTATTATTTTTTCTCATAATTTTATCTCTATTTTGCTAATATTTCCTTCCGTGGTTTTTATCTAGTTCTCCCAAAAATGAAAAATTCACATTTTTAAATATATAGATTTTTCAGATCTCAAAATTATCTCATATAATAGACTTCTAGTGAAGTCTACAAGGTTATGAATTTAATTGTTTGTCTTATGTTTTTCATAGTTTCATCTTTATTTTGCAGGTATTTTTTTCCATGTTTTTTTTTTATCTTCCACCAAAAATTGTAAGATTTACATCTATGATGTGTGTTTTTCTATTTATATTTAAATAAATTTAGATATTCAAAATCTATGTCTATAATTTATTACTAATTTATTTTACAAATATTATTTTCTAAACTTTTTAGATTTAAAGTTATTTTCATGTTTGTAATATATATATTTTTCAGATCTAAAATTTTTCGGATTGAGTAGACTACAAATGAAGTTTATTAACCTTAAGTTTTAAACAGACTTTATTAGAAGTCTACTCAACTATGATTTTAATTTTTTTGTCTTATATTTTTTTCGTAATTATATTTTGTTTTGCAGGTATTCTCTTTCAAAGTTTTCAAATCACCTTCCCAAAAGTGTAAGATTTACATATATTCATTTTTTTGTTTATATAAAACTAAATTTATAGATACAAGCTCTATGTTTTTGCTTTGCTAATTTTAGGTTAAAACACTATTTTGAATTATTTTGGAGAAAATTCTGTTTTCAAATTTTGAAATTGTACATATTTAGATCTGAAAGTATTTTTGGCATGAAGTTTGTTTAAAAATTAAAGCTAGTAGACTTTAAATAAAGTCTATTGAACCCATAAACTTTAAGTAGACTTTTATGAACTAAAATATAATTTGAATATGTTTTACCTTATGTTTTCTCATAATTTTATCTTATTTTTCAGGTACTCTTTTCCAAGATTTCATTTAAGATATCAAGATTATGAATAAACACTCTAGAGTTATAAAAAAATTGCTTTGTAATAATTTATATTTAAGAAAATTTCATTTGTAAATAAATATTCTGATACATAATCAATAAACATTGTATTAATTTTTAATTGTGTTGCACTTGTATGATCTAACACTATTAAAAGTTCTAAATAAATCCCTCTGGTTCTGTCCACGTCCTCAAAAATAATTGACCAATCAAGTTATATCGTTCTGCCACGTCACTATCGGGCAAAAAAAAATGCCATGTTTTCGAAAAAATCTATGGGCCGTCTGCTGGATTTTATGTAATGTTTTTTGGATGGTTTAGGCCCACAGTTAGGGTTTCATCAATATCCCTCTTAGAGAGTATCGTCTTCTTCAACGATGACGCCAACTCTTATCGCAAATAAAGTAACGTATGCTATTGACAATTATTAGGTGCTTAAATCCGAGCATATACATCAATTGAACCACTCCCCCACTCTCTAGCTTTTCAGTTTCAAACTCTTCGTATCTCAAGTAACTTTTTATCTCCCAAATCTGATAAACACAAGCATACTTAAATTCTGCAGAGATTTTCTAGGTAACACTAAATATCAATTGACCTCTCTTCCTCTAAACAAGCGGTCATTCATCTCCCTTGCTATTCATGATGTCTTCAATCTTTAAATTTGTTCATCATGATTGCATTAGAACGTCAGTTACTCTTTCTTCTTTGTAAGTCTTCTATATTCCCATGTTGATTTGATATACATCGGGTCTTTGCTTTGTTTATGATGTCAGAAGCCTAAGCACAGAGGATTGAGAAGGTTGACGTGTAGTTGATTGAGTCAGTATCTGAAAGAGAACGTAGCATTAGAGATCTGAGCTTCGGTATGGCACGCAAGCCTGAGGTCATCGGTAAGACCTTCTCTTTCTTTCATAACCACTTTTTTCGCTATCTCTGATTTTGAATTCACGAATCGATCTACTGCCTGGAATCAGTGAAGCTTCGATACTTAGCTGAGTTACAAAGGAGAATCATCGTCGGACTGAAGCAACCAATGAACTTGATTTCCCTGTGATGGGTTCTCTCAGGTGATACTAGGGGAGAAAGTAGTAAACAGATCAGGTAAGCTGTCATTAAACGAAAACTTATATGCAAGGTTATGTTGTCATGTATTTTGAACGATTTTTATATTTTTTGGGGCAGCAGACAAGAAACAACATGGAAAGTAATCGTGAATTGTACGCTGTGTTAAAGGTAATGATTTGATATGGAGAGTAACTTTATTGTTAGGCTGTTAGCTGATACTTAATGTGCTTATTTGTGTTTAGGATATAAAAAGTGAGATCAATCCTGTACTCACTCCCAGAACTGCTGTTCCAGAAGGGTCATTAATTGGAATTCCTGGTAGGTTTGCTAATAATATTTCAGCTCAAAAGAACTTGATTATTGATCTGGTTTCCTGTTTCAGGTTCAAATCAAGGCAACGACCTTACACTTAAAGGCTGGCCATTTATAGTAAGCTGTCTATCCATACTTTCTTTTCTTGCTGGTCTCTCTCTTTTGTTAAATGCTACTTTCTTTCATGATTTAGGGATTTGATCAGCTTCGTTCTGGTCTTCTTCAACAGAAAAAACTATTCATGCAGTCTCCACAGTCTTTTCACCAGCTCAACATGTTGACTCTGCAACAGCTCATGATGGCTCAACAGAATCTAAACTCACAATCTGTCAATGAAGAGAACAGAAGACTGAAAATGCTATCGAACAACAGGAGCATGAGCCTGAGAAAAGATGGCCTTGGGAGTTCTGTTGGGGATGTCTTCTAATGTTGGATCGTCTTTACAACCTGGTGGTGGGTCTTTTTGCCTCGTGGAGACACTGATATGCTACTAAAGGTTTGCATTGTCTTCTACAAAAGTTTGCTAACTTATAAATAAATCTTACAATATTATTTGATAACTGTGTATGCTTTGTAGTTAAAGATGGCTCTGTTGCATCAGCAACAACATCAGGGTGGTGGAAATATACTACAGCCGCAGACACTTAATCAGCAGGCCCTATCAAATCAGCAATCACAGAGCTCAAATCACAACATTCATCAACAAGAAAAATTGGGAGGGGTTGGTAGTATTACAATGGATGGTAGCATGTCAAATTATGTTAGATGAAATGAACAGGTCTGTTATTAGACCCCTGAATCTTTTCATGTTTCATATTTCGATGATATTTAGTTTATGGTGAGTCTGAGGTTGATTCTTAATATATTTTTGCATTTTAACTGAAGGTATTAAAGAATCAGAGTGGGAGTAAAAGAAAGCAACCGGTTTCGTCTTCTGGACCAGCTAATAGTACAGGAACTGCTAACACCACAGGACCATCACCAAGCTCAGCACCTTCTACACCTTCGATTCAAACTCATGGAGATACTGTATCTATGCCTAATCTGCCTCATAGTGGTGGTTCCTCCAAACCAATGATTATGTATGGCTCTGAAGGAACTGGGACTCTTACATCTCCATCAAATCACTTGGTGTGTTTCTTTAACCCCTTAGTAGGAGCGCACATTTGTTAAAAAATATGAATTAGTAGCATTAATTTTTAGGCTATTTTACAGGCTGATATGGACCGGTTTGTGGAAGATGGGTCACTTGACGACAACGTTGAGTCTTTTTTATCCCATGAAGATGGTGATCAAAGGGATGCCGTTGGATGGTGTATGGATGTTAGTAAAGGTGTGTGTTTAATCCCCACTCTAAAATATACATATCATTGTGATTCTCAAGTTCCTAGAAGCTGTTAATCATGTGGGCATTCAGAGTAACGTTTCTTAATCTCTCATATACTACACCAGGCCTTCAAGAATTCATAGCCGGCTATAACACAGACCACCAAACTTCGTCTGGTTTTCAAAACACATATGAGTTCTTCGCTTTGATGTACTACTTGATACATCCGATATATGAGCTTTAACCTGTAGCAACGACACTCAAGAATCCAATTAGATTATTGCGTACGACACCCTCCTCTTTTTTCCATTTTTAAAGCAATCTAAGAGTCTAAAATAAAATTTTTTAAAGCAAGCTAAGAGTCTAAACTAGAATTTGAAGCCATCCTTCTAATTATTTCATGATTTTATAGGTCTACCAATTCTTAAGATCGTAATCAAAAATAAAAAAATTTCAAATAACATGAGCAAAATGTCCAACAAATATTTTTATTAAAATTTTCAACAAATGCTAAAATAATCTACAAAACATAATTAATAAAACACTAAAAATTAAAAGGTCAATTCATGATAATTGAAAATCTAATATAAACTGAAACAAACATATATTATAAAACATCGTTTGGTGTTACATAATAAATATTAATTCTTATTTATGACATTATTGAAACTATATTACTTTAAAATATAACTTTTATAACTTTTAACATTTGATTTTCAATTGATTTAGCTTGGAAGTGGATGTATTAATTTCTTATCATGAGAAAATTAGTTATTGTAATAATATTAAAATCTGATACTCTTAGAAATAAGAAAATATTAGTATTTCTACTTTAGATTTTCTTCAAGTATATATAATTGGAAAAGAAATCAAATAGGAAAAGATATACATCATTACATTTTCCTCCTTTTTTAATTTAAAAAAATTGTGTTCTTAAACAAAAAATAATGTTAGTATTTTTTCAACTCAAACTAACAAAATTTAGTAAAATTTACAATTTGATATTAGAATAAAAACATATTATATTTATTATTTCAATATAAAGTAAATTTTCAAATGTTTTATAAAATTAAAATATATTTCACTATAAATAATTTTAGAGTAAACACACCCGCCCGTAGGGCGGACAAACCCCTAGTATTATTAATTTTTGTTAGCAATCAATTTTTCAGAAAATAATCTAGTCAACCAAACAGTAAAAAACCACCATAAGCTAAAACAAAAACTAACACACACAGTATTCAATGTGTTAAAACTATGTAATCTGAAGACTTGTTTTATAGCAATTTTAGAGATTTTGAACATAAAAGAGACTAATAATACAAATTAATACAACTCCAATACCAATAAAAGAGAGTAGACTTTAGTGATGTCTACTTTCCTACTTATAGAATAGTAAAGAAATATGGTTTTGTTGTACACATTTAAAAAGTCTACGTTACGGAAATTAAACTTGTTTCACACTACATAACAATACAAAAGAAACCTACAAATTAAACATAAGTTCATACACAAACAACATGTAACTGAGCCATTTTCTGTAAAAAAAAAAAAGAGGGTTGACATAGTTAGCGATCATGTTTCCAAAAACTATAACGTAGACTTACCAATACGTCTATGATTATTAGGTAACTACATGATCAAATCAAAAGTATCATAATTTCATAACTATAACAAATTTCTTTTAAAAACCACTCAAACATATTAGGATTAACTAACACACACTATCAAACAAAATAGTCTTGAAAAAACTTATTGAATAATACACAAATTCACTTTTAATATATTTTCAAACGTAGACTCCGTTAGCAGTCTGTGTAAATGTAGACGTTCGTTACAATTTACACAGTAGACTCCATAAGCAGTCTTCTCTTTAAGTTAGTTTTTGCAATTGAAAACTTTACGGGTTACTTTCTATATTTGAAAACAAAATTGTAATTTTATATATGTAGACTCCCATTTCAGTCTACATATCAAAAATGTTGGTTTTTTCAATTGACCAAAAACACCCAAGATTTAACTTACAGAAGTAGACTTTAGCGGCAATCTACATGTTTGAATTGTTTTTAAAGAGGTTAGTTTTGCAATTTACCAAGTTTGACTTTCTATTAGTAAACGGAAACAAATGTTTACATACATGTTGACTTCACACGAAGTCTACCCTCAAAATACCGGGGGTTAGTTTTGCATTTGACCAAAATAAAATAGTAGAGTTCATGTGCTGTCTATCTTTTTTCTGAAATTAGTAACTGAAATTGAAGTCTACACTTTTTTTTCTTTTTTTTGGTCAACTTTTTAACATTTTAGTCAAATGCAAAACTAACTTATTCAACGGAGTCAAAGTTTGGGTCAAATACAAAATGGACTTTTTGTAGACTTCTCGGGTAGTTTATAGTCTGTTCGAGGAAGTGAACTTTGAAAAGTCAAAAGTTCGGTCAAATGCAAAACTAACCCTTTTACGTCGATTTATTTGTAAGTCTACCTCATTTTTTTTGTTTTTGTTATCAAAGGTAATGACGTAGATTTCCGGGAAAGTCTTCTTTACAAAAAAAATTATTTTGGTCAATTGCAAAACTAACATGTATGTTGACTTGTAGACCGCAGCGTAAGCTTACACATATGCGTAGACATACGATATAGTCTATCACGACACATATTTGAAAAATGACAAAAACCATGTAAATAGGTATATTTTCCGGTGTAAAGCTTGTTTCCACCCTTTTCCACCGTCTAAGCTCCAAATATGAGATACTCACGACAGCGTACACTCGAAAATATGAAGTTATACTTATGAAAATGAAAGATATGAGAGTTTTTAAGATGAAAATAGAGAGGAAATGAAGATTTGTTTGCTTAGAAATACAAAAAAATGGTTGAAAATTGAATTCCAGAGGTTTAAAGAGCTCAAAGATGGTTGTTAATGGTAGCTGAAAAAATTATGATAATGACATTGTTGTAAATAAGAAGAAATGTTTAGGATGTAATATGATTTTTAAAATTTTCGAAATAAATAAAAAATAAATATATAATGGCAATTTTGTAAATAATTCAAAAACATAGGGAGGGATAGGAGTTTTCAAAGGTGAATAGTAATGAAAAAAAAGAGGTTGGTTTTGGAGTTGAATTGAATTTGTAGGTTGTTTTTGAAAAAACATCTTTAAATAAAAACATAGCCTAAAATATTTCAATGACAAAGAATTGTAAATACTTTTGAAACAGGAGGAACTTAAAAAATCCCTTCAATTTTAATAGTATTGATTGCAAATTTTTGTTTTAAAGATTGATTTTTATCTTTGACTTATTTTTATATAAATATTGACAACTCTAGTTTTATCTTTAACTTTCCATCAGCTTTAGTTTTAATTTATATCGATTCACTTTATCTGTTTGGATAGCTAAACCGTTGATAATGTAAATGATGTTAAAAATTAGACTTCAAATTAAAATATAAGGTACACTAACTTCAAATTTAAATATTCGAACCTTAATTACCACAAATGTGAACTGACATCTTTAGTATTCTTTTTTGAATGAGTTGTCTTAGAAAAATAACTAGTCAACAATGAATTTAATATTTTGGTTTGAACAAACTGAAGTAAAACTGAAATAATCCATCTAAAGAGTGAAGTTGAACCAACTCATCTGTTCAAAAAAAAAAGATTGAACCCACTCAATGAGACATTAAATATATATTTGGTATATCCGAACAAACCGACTCCAAGTAAATCGACCAGGGGAAACCCGGTTGAAACCGAAATTATTATACAAATTTGAAAAAGAACTAACATATAACCAAAAACCAAATCACACTAAACCGAACTGAATGATTTTTATTGTTCCAACCAAAAATAACTAAACCGGATTGGAAAAACCTAGAAAACTACGCACCATGTTAACATGAAATATAAATAGCCGTCAAAAAAAAAACCCCAAAACGTGAGAAATAAATTAGGTATTAATTCGCAATTCAATTTCTACCTTTCGAAAAGAAAACTCAAAAATAAACAAGAGCCATTGGAGAAAGGTTTAGCCACTATCTTCCTCTTCCGCAATATCTTCGTCTCTCTGCAAATCTCATCCATACCCCTTCCTTCCTTCCCAAACCGTTAGTTTCTTCTCTCCCTCTCTCTCCCTCGCCTCAAAATCTAAGGAATTAGGGTTTATGTTCGTTGATTCTGAAGCTGCGACTACAATTTTTTCAACCAATTCTCGGTTTTCTCCATAGAATATAGAGATTATACTCCTTTTGAGAGTTTCTCCATAGAATCTAGAGAGAATCTACAGATTTTTCAAAATTACAGAATTTGGAGTGGTAAAAGGTTTTGCATTTCGAAGATTCTTTGAAATTAGGGTTTCAGAGTTGTAAAAGTTTCTCCCTTTTTTTGATAAATTGTTTTTTTTTTTTTTAATTTGGGGATTATGTGTTATTGGACATTAGCATTCGTTTCGAGATTATGTCTAGTTGCAGTAGTTTATACAGACTCTTTATTGGAAGATTATGGAATAGGTTCTGATTTACTAATGCTTGTTTTATGATTGATTTTATATTATAATTGTTAGGTAATGATGAATGACAAAGGAGATAAGACTTGTCCTCTATGTGCTGAGGAGATGGACTTGACTGATCAGCTTTTCAAACCTTGCAAATGTGGCTACCAGGTTCGATACTTTACAACCCCCTTCCTCTTGTTGGTTCTCAGATTTCACCAGAGAGTGTTATGAGTTTGTTTGAGTTTGAGAACCTAAGAGTCATTTAAAGAATCTGAGTTTTTGTTAGTTTCGTTTGTATGTGTATATTGCATTCACACCAGCCTATGTTCTTCTGTAAAACGAACATGATCTGTAGTCTTGAAAATTCACGCCCTTTCTTAAAATCTATGTTTAGGACTTACATGACCCAGTCTTTATCTTGTTATTTATGGTTTGGTTCATTTATATATGTCCTTGGTGCAGATATGTGTTTGGTGTTGGAATCGGATTATAGAGATGGCCGAGAAAGATATGACAGAGGGTCGCTGTCCTGCTTGTCGAACCCCTTACGATAAGGAAAAGATTGCTGGAATGACAGCTAGCTGTGAAAGGTAGATCTTAAGCTGATAACAAAAGAAAGGAAATCTTGTTCCTCTTATGCGTGTAGAAACTTATCTTTGTTGTTCTGATAATTCGTCAGGTTGGTTGCTGAACTTAACAATGACCGGAAAAAGTCACAGAAGGTGAAGCCTAAACCTTCAGAGGGAAGGAAAGACCTAACTGGTGTGAGAGTCATCCAAAGAAACTTGGTTTACGTTATGAGCTTGCCTTTTGATCTGGCAGATGAAGATGTAACTCTAAATCTATACTAAGCCCCTTGGATAGAGCTCACATTTTTTTCCATCTCATTAACGTGGGATTTATTATATAATGCAGCTTTTTCAGAGTAGAGAATACTTTGGTCAGTATGGGAAAGTTGTAAAGGTAGCATTAGCTCGAACGCAAGCTGGGGAGATCCAACTGTTTCCAAACAATTCTTGCAGTGTGTATGTATTCGTATTTCCTTACACATGATATTGATGGTATCTAGTTGTGGATGAAATATTATTTGTGATTCCAGAAAGTTGAGCAGAACCCCCTGTTTTTTGAGATCGATTAGGCATGTTTACTTCTAACAATCATTTCTTCTTTTCTCAATCGATGTTTCACAGGTATATTACTTACTCCAGAGAGGAGGAAGCAATTCGTTGTATCCGATCAGTACATCAATTTGTTTTTGATGGTAGATCTTTGAAGTATGTGATGTTTCTTTTTCTATTTAAGATTTGTTACGGTAGGTTGTGGTTTTCTAAATATTTCTGGATGTCACTAGGGCATGTTTTGGGACCATGAAGTACTGTCATGCGTGGATCAGAAACATGGTGAGAATTTATTTCGCTCAGTTTCCTTTGAGCACGAGCATACAAGCCTAAATGCGTTTTGTCGTTTTTTCTACAGCCTTGTACCAATGTGGAATGTCTTTATTTGCATGAGATTGGTTCCCAAGAGGATAGTTTCGCAAAAGATGAGACAATATCAGAGCACATGAGGTAAAGTACTAAAACGATGGTTTCAGTTAAGCTCGACAGATTGTGGTTGAGTTCTTAATTTGATTTGATGCTGATAGTAAGCTCTCTTAGTAAATTATATTTTAGTTAAACTTAATAGAGCTAGACGTGAATCTTTTCTGTATCTTGTTTTATCTTAGCTTTCATCCTTCCTTGAAGCTTGCAGGGATTTGAGTTTGCATCAGTTCCTTGCTCTGCCATATCTTGTGTGCTTCGATCTAATTCTCTTGTTATTTGAAAGGGCAATTATTCAAGAAATTACTGGTGCGGTGCCCAATTCTCCTCGGCGTTCAGGGAGTATGTTACCTCCACCAGTGGATGATTATGTTGATAATGTGTCTATCCCAAGACAAATTCCAAAATGTGTTTTGAATGTAAGTTGGCAGCCCTTCTTGGAGCCTCTGATATTCTTTTTGCTATCAGCATATTCATGATTCACGATACGTTTATGTATGATTTATTATACTTTTGGCTTCTTCTTTCTTCTACTTTTCTACATTTGCAGAATGCACAGAGTGTTGTTAAAACATCTCCCCCAAATAGTAGTAACGGCCGATCTGTTAGTCTTCCTGCTGGAGCCTTGTGGTACACTATACTCTTGTGTATATATTTCCCCTGTTTTTTTAGTTGTGTACCTGCTTTGTCTGTAACTTGTAACTGGTTTTTCAGGGGAATGCATGCTTCAAGCAAGTCTTCCGTACCGAATATACCATGTTCGGGGGAACCCTTAAGAGTTAAAGCTGTTACAGTTTCATCTGCGGTTGCAACAAATTCAGTGCAGGTTTCTGCATCCCATAGTGATGTATCAATGAAGCCAGCATTAGATGATAATCAAACTTCATATGGTAATGGCTTGAAATCGCAAGAGCTATTGGATAGTAAGACTGAGTTTCCAGAGCTTTCCTCGGTTAATAGGACCCAGACTAGTAATAGTAAGGCATTAGTTTCTGCATCTCATAGTGATGTATTAAGGAAGCCAGCAATAGAGGATAATCATATTTCAAATGGGAATGCCTTGACACCACAAGACCTATTGGATAGTCAGACTGATTTTCCAGAGCTTTCCTCAGTTAATAGGACCCAGACCAATGATAAGGTATTAGTTTCTGCAAATGTGGATAACACTAGAGCTATTAGTGTGCCATCAAATTGCACGGCTTTTCCGGAGCCTACTTCTCAGTCTTGTAGACCCATACTGTCCAATGGTGACAAAATTCTCAATGGAGGGATACAGAGTGTATGCAGCAACGCCGTGTCTGTGAGTGCACATAGTGTTGTAAATGGCTCCGGGGGGCAAACAAGATCTGACAGTTCACGTGTTGATCACGTCCCCTTAAAGTCATCTCATACAGAAGTGTCCCGAGACCCTCTACAGCATTGTGACAATGAAACTAGAGAAGTTCAGCTATTACAGAAGACTGGTATAACTAACGCAAATGATGATGTTGACTCAAGAGAAGAAGTTAATGCAGGTAGGGATTTGATGTCCCCATTGGTAACAAATCGGCATCTTCAAGCCGAGGATGATATATCATCATTCATTAGAGAAAGACTCAAGGATCCCGAAGTTTTTAGCTGTCAGCCGATTGCGACCCATAAACCTAGTTTCCTACGCACTATGCAGCCTTCGTCACGCCACTATAATGCTGAGCATGATGAAACCAGGAGTATGTTTGGGTCCTCCTCGGCTGGAAGTAATGTAGCTTCGATCTCACATGGATATAACGAGATGCCACAGAGGGAGCCCGGTCGTTTAAATGGCAGTCTTAATCATTCTATGTTGTTTCCTGACAGAGCAAGGAACACAGAACCTAATGGGAACAGTGGGTTTGACTCGCAGGGAAACTGTAGGAATGAAATAGATGACAGAATTGCAAGTATAATGTCTTTAGATCTGGATGAATACTTGACATCGCCTCATAACTTGTCGAAGCAACTAGGGACAGGTGACGTAGAGGACAGATCTTGTAAGCAAGCCAGTTCCTGTGAAGTTAACAACAATCAATCCCGGTTTTCTTTTGCAAGGCAAGAGGAATCTAAGGATCAAGCTTTTGGATCGTATAATGTCTTCGACCAGAGACCAAAAGGCAATGACCTCTACCAGCAGTCTTCAGAACGGCAGAGTCCTGATATGAATATGCTTGGAATGTATAATGGTGTTTCATCCAGTTATCTCAAAGGAATGGATTTTGTCACTCCAAACTCCACTTTGCCTTCGTCTTATAATAAACCCACTTGTGAGTGTGATTTCTCATTCTTTTACCTCAAGTTTCTGGTCTTCTAGCTGAATATATATAGTATGTTTTTTTCACTTTATGTTTTCTTATACTGCACCAAGCTGGTTGATGGTTAAAGGAGTGTTATGTGTTGGCTCTTTTTCGCCGTATCTCTATTATTTGGCTGATGCTTTTCTTTGTTATGGAAATATTATGCATCTTTGATATTGACTTTATTTGTTCTAAAAGCATTTGAGCCATAGTGCCTGCATGTTATGAGCATTCGTGTATAACATAACCTCCTCTGTTTTTTTTGTTTGTCTTGTAGCTGTTGCAAGATCTCCGGTTGCAGCGCCACCTGGATTTTCAGTTGCAAGTCGACCTCCTCCTCCAGGCTTCTCATCAAATGGGAGAGAACATCAGACATTGAATGGCTTCTCAGGTAGTTTATATTAATGTTGAGTTCCCTTCATATTGCTCCGGGTTTTTTCTGATTTGTTGCTTTTAAATAAATTGAAATTTGTTCTCGTTGTTTGTGTAGGAAACCATCGTTATTCTGATTCACCAGTGTACATTAACCCATATCACCAGTCACTTCCAGTTGAAAACAATGGTGGTGTTAGGGATGTTGAGTTTCTGGATCCTGCGATTTTGGCTGTTGGTCAAGGCTTTGAGAATCGAAGCCTAGATTACAGATCAAACTTTCAAGGAAACGCAAACATATTTTCAAACCAGACAAAACTTCAACAACAACAAGCGGCAATGCAGAGCCCTTTGTCTTCGCATCAAAACTGTGGACTCGCTGATTCTTTGGGAATGGCATCAAGGTTTATAGATCAATCTCAAAGGAGTACCATACTATCTAAAAATATGGCCTTGCCTAATGGCCACTGGGATGGGTTGAGTAACGAGATCCAAAGTCAAAACAGGTTCCAGAATGAGAGATTTATTGGGTCAACAAATCAGATGAATGGTTACAATGGGACTTTCAGGATTTAACACCAATTGTCAGAATCAGTGAGTCATCACTGGTCTGGTTTAGGAGCAGCGCATAGATCGCCTCGACCTTTGAATCTTAGCTTCTGGTTACTTTGAAACTGAGCCAACAGAGAGGTGGTTGTAAAAATCTTTTAGGAGGTTTTATTATGCATTTCTTTATTAACATTTCATTTGGTTTTGAAATATGTCAAATATTATTTTTCATTATGAGATTACATAAGATTTTGTTTTGCATCTTCAGTTGAAACGTCTTTTTAACAAAATCTTAGCTTTCGATTTAAAACCATATAATTTCAACTTGTATTTTAAAACCATTAGTTGACAAAACATGGGTTATAACTTATATTAGATTTTAAAACTATAAATCTAGTAACTAACACCTAATTTCAACTTGTGTATTTTTAAAACCATTAGTTGACTATATATAACATGACTTCTACTAAAAAGTGTGTTGTGGCAAAACATATGACGAGGTTGTAATTATTAATCACTCACTAATGGAGATGTGTTGCTTTACCCAAAGAGGTCGTGAGATGTTTAAAGTATACTATTACACCAACTGAATCCTAAATGCAGAAGATATTATAAAGTTGAGGAGACACCTCTTTGATTCGGTTATAAAATAATGTTACATATTGTTTAATTAATGGACCCATAATGTTTCTCAATCGTCTCACGTTGTCTCATTTTGTACCACTAAAAATACAATAGTTTATATTAAGGATTCTCCGACAATGTAGGTCATCATTGGTATTTATTTGCTTTTATGCCTTTGTTGCCTTCTTCATGCCTAGTACCACAATATATACCCAACGCAAATTGCAAGAAAATTATTAAAAATATAATTTAATGTGTTTGGTACCCGGTCAGAGAAATAGTCACTTACTTATCGTATTTAATTCGACAGAAACAAAACCATATCTTTTACATAGCTCCAGTTTTGGCTTAACCATAGAAAACGTCCAAAGCAATTGGGACATATTTTTGTCATGTTCGTCCATAATTCACGCCACGTAATTCTCAAAAATTTGTGATAGGTTTTGGGTAATAATAGAGAAATGTATATAGTGTTACATTATTTATTCGCTTAATCTAGCTATAATTTTTGTTCAAAAAAAAAACTAGCTATATTTTATATTAACCAAGTACTGGTGGCTTGGTGGTAAGGTTAATTTTAAGCAAAACAGCAACTTGTACTGAAACTAAGTTGATGTTAACCACACAAGTGTTGCCAAATGGTAAGGTGGGATTGGAAAAGTGTTAAGCATCCGGAATCTGAAATTTATCCTTTTAAATTTTCCACATATCTGATCAGAATACATAGGTAGCTATTTGCACGATGTCAGTAAATAAATTCCTAGAAAATTAGTCGGTTGATACTCACTTTGCTGGATATCTCCAAATTATTAAAACAAAACTAAGTTGATGTTATTTATTGAGAAAAAAATAAAATTTCATGTCAAATTTCATTAGAAATAAAGAAAGAGGAATCATCGTTGCTTTTTTTCTTATGGGAAATTGATTAGATTTTGATTCAGACACTTTCTTTTGATTATTTAGACCATGTTGTAATAATTTAAATTCGATCTATAGTTTCAAATATGAATGATAACAACACGATTCAAGGTTAAGTTTCCTAAAAAAAATTAATCCAAAACTCGCCAGTCAATCTTTACATGCATTCCTCCTACATTGAAATCATCATCATTTTTTTTTTCAAGTTGGATATATCAAGAGATCTACATACATGTCCATAGTTCTTTTTATCCTTTTGAAAAAAATAGATGTACTATATGTAGTTCTTACCCACGATACATCTGGTGATATTCATATATTTCTTTCTTTTTGACGAATAAATAATTTTATCACAAATAATTAATTCTAAAATATATTTAATTTTCTTCTATATATACTATATTTTTATTCTATTTTACTCACAACTTAAATAATACAAAAAACTTTCACTATATATTTCTCTCTTTTTATTTTCGTGATTTTAATTATTTAAATTGTTATATTTGTATAATGTCTATGTTTTTAATTATAACATGTACTTATGTAAATATATATTACTGTGTTTATATATGTATATTTAAGTAAGAGATATATTTCATGGATTACTAATGATTTTTACATATTTTGATTTTAGAAGTTGTAATAACATGGTTTTAGTGTAATACTTATTGTTATTCCTTTTTAATGTTGGATAGTTAATTATTACAAATTACGAAAATACTACATATTTTATGTGGAATCATGTGTGATTGCATTATTTGAGTTGTTCCATGGAATCCACCTTTAACTATACTTCTTGCGTTATGGTGCAGATCTCTTATAAGTATTTTTTGCATTAATTCGTATAATTTCGTTTTTTTTTGGAATTAAAACTCATAATTCCTGATGTATAAGTATTAATAAAATTTTAGTCAAACGATTGGACCAAAAGAATTTCTACCTATTTATTATTATTCTGTATTGTATTTCTATATTAGGTTTTAACTTTTATACTTCTAACTTTTATTAATTAAATATAAATTAATTTATAACTGTTTCACTGCCTAAAATTGTAAATACTGTTTGATCTGATTTTGTTCCATATAATCTATTTAATCTATACTTATTTTACTTGATCTGCATAATTTATATGTTCTACACTGCGTGAACTGTTTTTATTATTCAAAATCTTGTTGCGGTGAATCACGTGATTTAATATCGCAAAATATATGTGTTTAAAGGATTGTCGGCTAAAGATAGTGTGGTAATCCTACTTTATGGTAAGAGAATGATAATAATATGTTTAAAGAAACATGTGAGTTAAGATTACTGATTAAGGCATAGGATACGAGTCATAGGAAAGGACCATTTTTGGAGTAATGTGGATAATAATTTAAGTTTCTTTAAACCATCACATCTCTTACTGAATATCATTACCATTACCCCCATCGGTAGATAGACTTTGAGATTTGATTTGACAGAACAAGAGATCTAGCATCTCTTATTTTGCCTTTTAGCTTTGACAATAGGCATAACAAACAACTACACAATAAAAAATCTTCAAACATTTGATGACTAAATACAAATATATTTTCCTTTTTTTTTTTTTTTTTTTTTTTTTAACTGGNAATAACTTAGCTCTAGATGTTGCATGTGAATGCGAATTCTAACTATAAAATGAACAACAACTGGACGCAGCATATAGATGTTGTATTCAGACACTACATCATCTAAACATGGCATTAATCAATAGACCAAGTTGATTCTTGTTATGTTTGTTTCTCTCTTTTCTTATGCAAAGATTTTTTTTGCTTTCTTCTTCTTCTTTTTTTTTTTTTTAACTGGCTTTCATATTGAAATAAAGAGTAAAAAACAGAGTTTACAAAGATGAACAAAGGAAGAAGAATAAAAGAAAAAAAATACAACTGCAAACTAATAAGAAAACATAACAACACAGACCGAATAGATTCAACCCGAGTGGGAATAACAGTGGCTCACAAGCAAGAAACGAGTAAAATTGGTACGACATACAACGGCAGCTTAAGATGGTTCGACTACACAGACAAGTAGCGTTAGCAAACTCCGGGTCTTACATCACTAACCAATTGCTGTTAATCCAGAGAGGAGCCGAAGCATCCTCACTCGCTTCCAAACAAGTACTGCCACTGACAATTAAGCACGAATAGGGTGAAGAGCAACAAACATGTACGCACTCAACACAGTAGCCGAAAATACGGGTTGAAAAGGAGGCAGCTAGATGAAGGAAACCAGGGGACCTGCACTGAAAGGAAAAGGACCAAATCTGCTATGGGAAATCAAATGAACTACCACAACACTGGGATGAAATAGCCCTAAACATGCCGCCGAAGAGGAGAAAGCGGAGCTCCATGACACGAACCGATAAACGCCTCCCATGATACTTCTCTAAAAACAAGAGAGAGTTTCCTTTCTTGATTAAATGGGTCAAATGAGACAGAACAAATGCCCAAGAAGATGAAGAACCAAGCCCCACAAACCCTGAAACCCGGAAGGATCAGAACCAGGAAACAAGCAATCCAAAGACCATCGCTGTGAACCGAAGAGGACAAAGACAGGAGAAGCATGACCAGACAGCCAGCGCCTGAGTACCAGACAACTCCACGCGCTTAAACCATCCTTTAGGCGACACGCGCCGCCGGGAGAAAAACCTTGACACCGCCAAGAGCTTCATCACCGTCGCGCGTCGTGTGAGCAAAAGCTCACGACGTCCTACTTGGGCATGAAAAGGAGGCACTGTCGCCAAGACACCAAGGCAGAGAGCTAATACCCTAGATCATCACCCCTCACCGACACAGACCATAAGAACCAGATCTGCACAGATCGAGCCCACTCCAGGACTCACACGCCTCCAGAACTGGTAAGGGAAAGGTCTCACCAAACAGATCTGAAAAACGGGAGAACCAAAACCTTAGCCACCCTAAACGCCGACTCCGCTCTTAACCGCACCTCCACAAACCTCGCCGTCCAACCAAGGTCACCGGTGACGAAAGATCCGGAGAAACGCNCCAGATCTGCACAGATCGAGCCCACTCCAGGACTCACACGCCTCCAGAACTGGTAAGGGAAAGGTCTCACCAAACAGATCTGAAAAACGGGAGAACCAAAACCTTAGCCACCCTAAACGCCGACTCCGCTCTTAACCGCACCTCCACAAACCTCGCCGTCCAACCAAGGTCACCGGTGACGAAAGATCCGGAGAAACGCTATGGTCGAACCCCAAATCCATCTTCAGCGGACAAACTCAGTGCTTCAGCATATCAGCAAGGGAGAGGAGACTAAGACGCGAAGCAAAGGGAAAATAAGCGAGAGGAGAGAGAGCACCGACGCGGCGGCGAGCCGCACACGCCGGTGAAAGCAGAGTAATGGCCTTGTGAGTAGAGAGAAGCTAGAGGATTGGGAGAGAGAGATTCCTTCCTTCATATTTTCCTTTTAATAATTTAAGTATTCTAGGCTAGGACCTTCCCATATGTGGACGTTTATATATATATCATTGTTTTGTCAAACATTTTAATTGGTAAATTTAGCATCCAAACCATTCCACTCTGTTCCAAAAGTTCAACCAAGCATATAGTATGATTGTCTTTGTGGTCGTACTAAATAGTATATGGTTAGGTACTACCACCATATGCACAACTCTTATCGTCTATAGTTAAGTTACTATATTTGACACGTGATTTTAGAATATAAGTATATATTTTGGTCATATC